AAATTATATCTCCCACATCTTTAAAGCTAGAGTCTCCAAATTTAAAATGTATATTGAGTTGAATTTTATACAATTTCGGTTTTTATTAAATTTTTTTTTTTCAAATACTAGAGACTTGTGTTTTGGGGTATACACACATTTAACCAATATGATTACGTTCTGAACGTTTCATTGGAATTGTACGTCTAGAAATTAAATTATTCAACAAATAAATAAACATTATTTTGCCAACATTGCAGCGCAACGAGTCATCTCTTAGTTACAGCGACCAGTGCAGCGACTAATAAAAATGTATCACCAGCCTGGCCAATGACTCAACATCTAAGAAGGCATATATGTGTATCCTCCCAGTGTCTGGAAGTATTTTTATGATTTTCATGTTAGGTACATAAAAACGTGGTACATTAACTTTGTAGCACTAGCCATTGCGGAAACACTAGGCATTTTTCACTAATAACTCTGTCTCTGATTCACGTGGACTCACGAGAAACAATTAAGGGAAATATACTAGCCGATATATCAGATAACTAGAAGTCTATAAGCTACAAAGACATTATTTATTTATTAGAAGGCTTGCAAAATCACAACAGAATATTTGCCACCAAATAATATATATATATACTAACTAGATTATTTGGTTTATATTATAAACAATTATATTTTCAATATATTTATAGCTTGCATATTTTTTACCCATAATTTCATTCATGTCATATGCTGCTGTGTGTTCAATTTGATACCTCTGTTGTACAGCGTTTAGCTCATTCAGTTTAAATTCAATTTTCTTATCACTGGGAAACATCTCAAAGAGTGACCAAGAAATTTTAATTAAAAAATACTCAAATGCTCCAAAAAAAGAGCACTAAAAAGTATGAAAACTGAAGAAAATGTGTATCAGCTTTTGTAATAGACAAGGACACTATCAGTACACACCCATTTCCTGCCTGGCTGAAGCAAGCATCATCGGTTGCCTCTGCCTGGGTCTCACTTAGTGCTTATCTTGCGTTGACATACCTTGTCATTTGGCCTGTCATCGTAAAAATATCAAATGTAATTTACTGCAGCCGCAAAGAGGACCTGCATGCATAGGTGCAACATCTCTGCTTGTTGTTATTTACGTTTTTTTTTTTTTTTTTTTTTTTTTTTTTTTTTTTTTTTTTTTTTTGCAATTTGTTTTTTATTTAACAGGATAAAGTTCATTTGCATGAAAATTCAATTTGAAATTTATTTTTAAATATGCAATTTAAGTTTGATATATGTGCTAGATATCCTTTTCCAAAAACTGAAAGTCTCAGGTAAAGGAATTTTGTATACAACCCACTTATAAACTTTGTTTGTTAACACAGAAATTGTTGAAACGAAAATCGTTGCCAGTTTGATTGATGAAGGTCCAGACAGTACTACACTTAAACTGTCATCGATCTATCTGGGTGTTGTGCCACGCCCAAGAAAAGTTAAGATTAAGCAAAAATTGCAGAAGAAGAAGAGACGAAACGAGCAAATAGACAATTGTTCCCATCAATTCGTTGGACTGAATATATCATAAATTAAAAGAAATAAATAATTTTTAAGTAGTTCCTTTTAATTGTTTACCATGTACATCGTAACCTCAGGCACTTATTTTTCCCATGGTCGCCTTCTGTTTGCCTGTTACATGGAAAGCGAACTAGGGCAAGCTAATTTATTTGCATAATTTAGTTGTTTACAATTTGGGTCGAGCGCAACAAGAACTAGCGAAGCAGAGCATTGTGATTGACATAAATGAAGTTACGACTTTTTGCAGTAGGACGTCCCAAGGAAAAGCGACTAAACGCAGCGTTAACTGCGGAGCTGAACAGAAGTTGGAATGAGACAATTTATAATATTCAATTTATATGCATTTTTTTCTTCTCTCTCTTTCCTATTCTCTGTTACCCTCTATACACCAGCGCGAAAAATGAGATAAGCAACAATAGCAACAACAATTGCAGCTGCTAAGTTGGTAATTTCACTGCTACAAGCATTTATATAGATAGTACATAGGCAGCGGACGTTGTTCAGCTGCGTTCATTGCAAAATAAAATCCTGGCTGTGATTAATGTGATTTGTCACTTGGTTCATTTGTATTTTCCAAGCTGTTGACTTGCGTCCATGCCGTATATATATGTATATGTATATAGATATACGATTTCATAAATATAAAGATACAGGCCCTGAGAAGTATGCTAGATTTATTTGCTGTATGCATGCCCTCAGAAGTATGCTACACTATTCGCATCTCAATTTGAAACAACAAGGATGTCATCCATTTGATGACTGACTGGAGATGAGCCTAGCAGATTTTACTGCGGGCTAGTATAACGAAGTGGAGGCATTAAATTTGAACCGGCCAATAATTCATTTGTTAAGCCACACGCACCCTGTTAAGATAATCATGGCCGAAGAACATCGTAGCGTTTATTTTATTTTATGTTATTTTATTTTCATTTTCATTTTCATTCCGACTTTCATTTGGTTTTTAGTAAATTTTAAACGCTGCACTTTCGGCTAGCCGAGTGAATTATGGCGGACAATAAATTTCTATGACATATAAATGTAAATAATTGAGTAGCACAGCTACAGCTCAGCCGCCACTTCTCGTCTGGAGCAGCTCCGTCAGCTGGGAGCTTCGTTTGCCTCTGTCTCCCATTACCATCTCGCATTTTTCCTACCAAAGATGAGGCCTGTCCTTTATCATGTGATGAATGTTCACCCGCTTCAGCCCATTTTATGCGCACTTTGGGCATGCACAAACATTTAATTTCAAAACTTTTTCCTGCTTTTTATTGTCGGGGCGACGTCGACACTTTATGCCCGAAAATTATATGACTGCTCTAGCAATTATATTTATTTACGAAAAGCAAAGCTGTGTCCTGAGATAGCCTTAGGCCAATATGTGAGCACTTGTCATCGTATATTTAGCACAGTCTTGAATAATTGGTAATAATTACATTATACTCGATAAGAAATATATGCGGCAAACGGATCTTAGTGTATTTCCTAGATACCCTGTAGGTAGAATATTCATTCCAATACTTCGAATTTACATTATTTGAAGAGGAGAGCACGCTGAACTGGAAGAACTGAGTAGATTAAAGAGAAACAAGACATGAGAAGTGAAGATAAGGACATTTTAAAGAAATATGTATTTAAATGAAATGGAAAAGAAAGTAAAACTCAAGTCAAGAGCAATCGAAAAATAGGACAAGTGAACATACGAAAATATTTCTAAATTATTCTTTGCGCTTATTATTGAAGCCCTGATTTACAGCGAGAAGCTTCTTCAGACCACATTAGCATTAGCTATCCAAGTTTTAAAGGTCATACTCAGTTTAAATTCTCTCTTACTCTTCCTTATTTGAAGAGACAACCAGTTATGTAAACGGTGATTCATTAAGTTAAATTCATAAGTTAAGTTCACGTTTTAAACAATTATTATAGTCATGTTAAATATATTTTATTACAAAACAGGTGTAGTGAGGTTAAAATGAGGAAAGTTAGTCCATGAAGTGGGCCTGAATAACAAATTGGCTTTATACATACATTCATCACCCTTTAATTCCCTTTAATTCCTTTATAAACTTATGTTTGCTGCTCATCCATCAATTAATTAGTCAGTGGATAAATATAGAACAATTCATATATTTAGTTTTAAATAGTATTTATGATTATAATTTAACAATTATCCTGTTGGAATTAGGCGGTCAGCGGCATGATGGGCAAAGGATTCGTCATATCTATTTTGAGTCGCTTGACTACCTCTTGCAATCGATCGTGGCTTCTCAGTCCCAACGACTGGAAAGGGCGTCTATCGAACAAATTTATTCTGTGGAGAGGAAAGTTAATGCATATTAGACCTTATAGACCCATAAAAAGCCCTGGACACACGTACCTTCTGCCCGAAATATTCACGAGAAATTTATAGTAGCTGTTGCGTATCGAGTTCGCCTCCAGAATAGCGCAGTGGAAGAGCACAGCTGTGAAGCTGGCATATAACACCATATTGAAGTGGGGTACCTTCGGCAGTATATTCTCCTCACTGCCCCAGTTATAGAGCATCTGCAGTGTTTTCCACATCACATACAGCGAGATCGTGATGTTGGGGTACTGCAGCAGTCCAATCGACCCCAACAGGCCGGCGGGTATCGCAAAGAAAGCGGCGTCATAGCCACAGGTGTTGCGCAGGCCACACGAAACGGCCTACCAAGACATATAATATGATTTTATAATTAACAAGTACGAAAGCTTTAGTCGAGACTGCTCGACTAGGAGATACCCTGAACCCTCCAAGGTAATATTCTAA